CAATATTATTTATTTTTCTATGCTCATTAAATCCGACCACTGGTAGCTAAATCCCATAATGTCGTGTGTGATATTTGCCAATACTGTATTTCCCTTCTAAAATGTTGAAGATGATTAGCTATAATCCACACTGCCCACTGTATGATGTAGTTCTCAAGGTGTGGTGTAATATTCTCTCAGGATTTCTATTCACTTGGGAACTGCTTTCAGACAGCACATATGTTTCTAACCTGCCCTGCCTCTCTTTTCCCCTGACAAGCTTTGATAACTAAAAAAGTGTTTGAATCTACCGGCTGAAGGATCCGGTTAATGTTAACTGTTACGAGAAGCAGATTTTTTTTTTAAAAAAAATAACTTTAAAAAGTCTAATCCACTTTACACAAAATACTAGCCATGTTACTAGTTTATGTGATGGCATAGGGGTTAATAGTGGGTTCAAGTTCTGATTCCACTATTTAATAGCTGTGTCATCTTGAGTAAATTACTTAGCCTTTCTGTGTCTAAAATTTGCTCATTTGTAAACTAAGAATACTAATACCTACATCATAATGTTGTTACAAGAAATAAAATTACTAATATATGTAAAGCATTCTGAACAGTCTACCTACATCATAATGTTGTTACAAGAAAAAAATTACTAATATATGTAAAGCATTCTGAACAGTCTACTAGGAGGCACTATATGTTTTTGCTTTTGTTACTATTATTATTCCCATATAGATTGGTTTTTAACCACATTTTTAAAGCTAAATTTAAGATTAATTAATTTTCATGCTAGTCAGAATTTGAACTCTGTGAATAACCTAAGCAAAAAAAAAGATAGTGTCTAAATACACCTGAGATATTAAAAATTAATATTTATTAGGACTTGTAGCATATTGTACATCAGAGCCTATGTGCTAAGAAAAAAGTTCTGTATTGTTAGAGTTAACTCAAATTAAAGGTTAATTCCTGTATATACCAGGATAATTTTATGTGTAGAAAAAAAAATTTCTAGAAAGATACTCTTCATAATAATTTGAACTAATGAAGAAAGTATTATATGCATAATCTGAAAATAATCTAAGAAAAATAACTTGTCTTCTTTAATATGCAGTTTAAGCAGATGACTTTAACAGTTATTAGCATGTTGAGTCATATCGCCAACCATCAGCTTCCGACTGTGTGGGACAGCAGATGGCTTTGTTTTTGGACTCTAGGAAAGTCAGGGTTGCCCTAAACAAGCTTTAACCAAAAAGGTAGAGAGGGTGGCAGTTTAATGTACAGAGTCTAGACTGATTTGCAAACTGCACATTCTACTTGTCAAATAAATTCTATTAATCAAAGCCATTTACCTAGTGATGTTCTTTAAAACTGGAGTTATGTTCTGGGATCGTAGGATAGAACAGTGAATTTGAACTTACCCAAATTTCCCAAACATATCAACGCATTATTCACTGGCTTTCAGGGTCAGAGTGGGAATGGGTGGAAATACCAATTCTTTTTCTTCTAGAGGTACCAGTTTCTCTTCTGCGCAGTCTAGGTAGGCTTCATGGACAGACAGCAGATAGATAGAACATCAGTGATAACAATAGTCGTCATTATGAGTACGGTGACCATGTATTTTTATTGTCCCAATTGGGACACTTTTGAAAGTGAACCCATTGCTGTCAAGTCAATTCCAACTCATAGCGACCCTGTAAGACAGAATAGAACTGCCCCATAGGGTTTCCAAGGAGCAGTGGTGGATTTGAACTGACAACCTTTTGGTGAGCAGCCAAGCTCTTAACCACTGTGCCACCGGGCTCAAGTGAAAGGGTGCTATTAATAATTGTTCTGGGGTAATTGGCATCAACAGACTGCCTTAGGCAAACCTGGATATATGGTCACTGTATCTATAAAAGATAGGCATAATTTATCCCATTTTTCAGAGGTTCAGTGAGGTTGAATAATTTCTCCAGAGTTACAGCCAGAAAGAGAATAAGAAGAGATTGCAAAAAAAAAGGAGAAAAGGCTATACTTTCAAAAGAAGTTAATCTTTTCATATCTAATAGATGAAATTTCTGTGTTATGACACTAGGTAAAATATGGAATGAATTTGTTATGCTCCCCTCTCTAAGATATCTTAGTATTCTTTAACTACATCTCCTTGCTTAACCAATTTTAGCTATTTTGAAAGAAAATACTAACGTCTTATATTATATTAGACTTAACATGTAATTACCTGATGGCTATATGTCTTTGATTTTGTTTGATGATTATTGTGTTTGTATTTCGGGAGCAAGACCACACATAAAGAAATGTGATATAAAGAGAATAGCTGTGAATATTAAATTATCTTATGCTTGCTAGAAAAATTCTGAGTTAACTTTTTAAAGTATAAATAATTTTACTGTTTTTATCATGCCTTCTCCATAATCTAGATTTTATTCATTGATTGATTCAGTTGTCAATAAATAAGTATGAAGACAATATTTTAGCATCCTTTATTACTTATTACTAATGTAAAACATACTTGGTTTTAAAATTTAAGAAATTACTTTGCTTTTGATACCTTGTGAGGAAGAAAATAAAAATCCTTTGTAATTCTGTGATACAAGAGTTACCACCGTTCGCATTTTGCTCTGTTTTTATCCCGTCATTTTTCTTTGTGTGTGCATGGCAAAAGGTTAAATGGTTAAGAACTCAATAAATGATAGCTCCCACTAGTACACCTACTACCGCTGCTGATACTATTACTACTGTTATTCTTATGATTGTCGTCATCATCATCAAGGAGAAGAATTCTAAGGAGATCTTGGATGGCTTCTAAGTTTCTGATTTCATAACTGGATGAATGTGGTACCTGATCAGGACAGGATATCCAGGATACACAAGGGCAGAGGATGAAGATCCTGGACGCAGAATAATACATCCTGAATTCGAGTTATCTATGAGATGTCCAGATGAAGATGTTTGGTGGGCACGTGGATATCTGGAGACTAGGGCTCCACAAAGAGACTTAAGATTAAATGCATATTACCAATGTAGGGTTAAAATAAGATTACATTTTCATAAATATTCAAATAATCGGGCTCTAAGCCTTTATCCTGCTATGAATATGAAGAGCAATGCCTTCTCAGGGTCAGGACTATGATCAGTTTAGGAAATCAGTGTCAGCTTACCTAGTCCAAAGATTGATTTTTCTTCACAAAGGAAAAGAGAAGAAATTACCAAATCTGGATAGTGTATTACCGGGCCTATTTTTGTGCTGTCATTATTACTTTTAGTTTTCTTCCCCATCTTAGATTTTTGCTACGATTGATACTGCTCAGTCCGAAAGTGAGTCCAGGGTGCTGCTCCTTGAGGAGAGCTGAGGAGACATCATTCTGCTGAGGACTCTGCTGCAGCCACTTCCACGTGATGTCACTGCTGAACCCAGAGTTCAGCTGGACAGTGCAAGGCGCCATGTGCCACCAGGGGCCTTGGTCTATGGGCTGTCTTTTTCGGGAAGCAGTGTCAAGGGCTGGGGCGAGGTCAGGGAAGATCGTGATGAAGTGATCTTCGGACTGAGCAAAAAGGAGATCATTGTTGACCTGAGAAGAAAGTTTCCTGAAGCAATGAGAGTGATACCCAGGTGGAACTAGAGTGAGATCCAGCTGGGACAGGAGAGAGAAGGCGAAGAGCATCCACCACTTGTCAAAAGGCAGGGCTCTGAAGGGAAGGAAAGACACGTGCAAGTTTTACATTTGCTGAAGACAAATATTTTATTGTATTCATCCTTGTATGCAATCAAGGTCAGCATCCTGCTGTGTAAGTACATTGATAAATGAGAGAATAAATGAATCCGTAGTTTGGTGTTCTCATCCATTCTAAGTGACTAGGCTTTGACCTGAGGACATCTTCAGATTCCACTTGGAGAGTAAATTTTGTCACATTTTTTGTGATTTCACAGTAGAAGTTTTTAAAAAATGTGATGTGTATATGAGTGCTTGCTTGCTTTAAAAAACATTTTGGCTGTTTTCTAAACTCTTAACCTCTAGGTGAGAGACATTTGGTTATATGAGAAAGTATGGATCAATTATTATTTAAAAATGGTTCTGTTTAAAATACACCAGTTTTGTGAAATTGTTTTGGAATGCATCAGCATAACTGAAACCTTACGTGAAATCTTAAAAAAAAAAGTATCAATAAACCAGTTAAATTGTAAGGTTGCTGTGAGTTGGAAGTGACTCGACGACACAGAAGAACAGTAACCGTGAGAGTACCACCACCTGTCTGCCAGCTTGTCGTACTGTGGAGACTTGCGTGTCGCTATGATGCTGGAAGCTATGCCACCAGTATTTCAAATACCATCAGGATCACCCGGTGAACAGATTTCAGCAGAGCTTCCAGAGTAAGACCGACTAGGAAGAAAAGCCTAGTGATCTATTTAAAAAAATAACCAATAAAAACCCTATGGATCACAACAGAATATTGTCCAATACACTACTGGAAGATGAGCCCCCTGGGTTGGAAAGCACAGCAATGGACTTGAGCATACCGATGACCATGGTATCCTGAGGATGACCCAAGACCACGCAACATTTTGTCCCCTTGCGCCTGGGGTCACCTTGATTCAGAGCTGACTTAGCAGCAGCTAACAACAACAACAACAGAATGAGAATACAATGACAGAATAAACTGATAAATATAAAATATTTTAAACAAATTCTTAAAATTAGGAAATTTAACTTGGGCTCAAGTGTTAAAAAGAACGTGCAGGAAACCTACTGGTGAATGTTGTTTATTTCCGAGTATTGAAAGTGCTCCGGGCTCAGCGGCCTCTGCACAGGGAGGAAGGCCACAGTCCCTCCCTCTTCCACTGCCCGTTGTAGGTATCTGCTCAGCTGTGCCCTGGAGCATCTTCTTGACAGTGGCACATAGGCATATGTGGGTAGTAGCCACGTGGGTGAGCAAGATCGGAATGCGGGAGGATGATGACAAAGAGCTTGCTGTGCTACTTTATGTTCTTCTGACACGGAGGCTTTCTTTATTTGTAGGTGAGCGTCCCTATCAGTGCCCTTACTGTGAAAAAGGATTCAGTAAAAATGACGGACTGAAGATGCACATTCGTACACACACCAGGGTAAGATTATATTCTTTTTCATTAGCATGGATTATAAAAACCATATGTATTTTAAAAATATATTAAGCTTTACATGAAAAAATAAATGTGATTCATTCAAAATTATATGTTGATATTTATGATGGACATTTGAGGGTTTTTTTCTTTTTTCTTGAAGACAAAACAATGAAAAAAACAACCAAAAATACAAACCAAAATGGAGTCCATGGTCTTTGAATTGTGAATCAATTTTCGGGAGTTATAAAGGAGTTATAAGTGATAAACCACTAGATAACTAGATCTTAACAGATCATATTAGAAAATATAAAGATGTGGGTTTGCAGAATGTTCTGCAATAATAGGAACATCCTTGAATAGAGGGAGTCTGTCAGCATTATACCATTGAGCAATACATATGCACAAGTATATTTTCAAGAAAGACATTACAAATAATTTAAATGATAGGGAGAGCTGGCGAACAAGGAAGTATAGCTCAGTGCTGAAGATATGCCTAATGCTGTATTTGGTTCTTTTTCTGAGAGTGTCCTTTGTTCTTCTGCTGTCACTCTTATATATGGCTCTTCCAGATTCGGGCATCTACCTCATATGCTGTTGAAAAATGTGAGGAGCTCACCCTCCATCCAAATGCATTTCTTACCACACTGTTCAGTTTAGGGCACAGTTAATTAGACACTTAAACTTTTATATAAGCTTCCACTTAGAATTTTATGTTGTACGAAACAACTGTTTTTTATTTTACTCTATATTTCTTTTAGCTGCATTATCTTTCACACAGTTCTTTTCCAGTTTGGCCTTTTGAAAGTGTATAGTCTACCATATTTTTACGCAGATAATGCTCGCCTTCTGTGTTTGTTTGCCAACTGTGCCTTCCCTCTTAGAGTATTTTCATAACTGCCGCTATGCCAATCTTTTTTTTACATGTTGCTGTAAAAAAAAATTAGCATAGTACACTTACGAAAATACCTCGTGGAGGGGGGGGACGCGCAGTTCGCAAACGAACATAGAAGGTGTGTGTTATTTGTATAAAAATGGTACACATCAGTTACATACTTCCTTAAATTTTAGGAGACATGCCTAACAACCCCCTTAAGAGCAATTTTTAATTTAGGCTTCTCTTGGATTTTACTTTTTACCTTAGCTATAAAATAAAAACTTTAGAAAAAACATACACTAGTAATAATATTCTTCCCATGTGTTACTATTCTAGTCTTTCACTTTAGCTCTGTGGGGCATAAAGAAATGCATTTGTCCTTGCAGTGGAGGAGAGCAACACCTTTTCCACTCCTTAAAGCAAATGCATGCCGATTTCTTGATCAGGTTTATAACATACTCATATTACACAAATATTAGGAATTGGAGTATAAACTAAATATAAAATTACTTCATGAACTATAAAAGATTAGACAAATAGTACTGTTAAGTAATATGATTCAGATTTACAGTATGCAAAATATTTCACAATGAGTATTACCAGAGAAATTTAAATTAGTGTAACTTTACTTTGGGAAGTTATCTTATATGTCTTTAGTTGACAGAGAGGTATCAGTAATGTGTCTAAAGGACACCAACATTCAGGCATTGGAGTCCTGATTTTTCTCAGTGGAAACCAGTGATGTTAACCAAAATCCGGACATGATCGGTGCATAATGTCTTGTTTCACATGATTAATAAAGATTGATAGGATTATACCACAGAAGAGTCTGTTTAACACACTGCACGGAAAAAAAATATATTTTTGTCTCAAGAAAATGTGATATTTCCAATTCAGCTAATTTGACTTTTACTTTGTTTTCATATAAAGTTTATTAATGAGAATAATACAGTTAAATATAAATGAATCAAAGACTACTAATTACATGCCATGTGCTGTCCTACTAAGCCCTTCCCATTTAAGCTTCACAGCCAGCCCGTGAGGCAGTTATTATTATGATCCTCTTTTGACAAAGGAGAAAACTGAGGCACAAGCAAGTAGTGGCAGAGTTGGGTTTTGAACCTAGGCAGAGTAGCTGCAGAGACCATCCCCTTACCCGCTATGATTTCCAGCCTTTTTATTTAATTAAATAGTTCTTCATTACACTGACTTAACTTTTTATACATTTTCATACGAATTTACAGTTGTTGTTGTGTTGATTCTGACTCATAGTAACCCAACAGGACAGAGGAGAACTGCCCCATAGGATTTCCTAGGCTATAATCTCTACAGGAACAGATAGCCAAGTCTTTTCTTCTGAGGAGCCATTGGTGGGTTCGAACCACCGACCTTTTGGTTAGCAACCGAGTGCTTAAACCACTGCACCACAAGGTTTCCTTCAAATTACAATAGTGACCCTAAATTAAAAGATTTCATGGTCTTTTGAATATTTGAACCTTGATTCAAGCAACTCGAAACGACATCCAGAGTATGCAGGTATAGATGCTACCTTGTCAGCACCTCTCCAGCACTAACTGCACGAAAAGAAACCAAATCTCAGCTTTTGACTAAGGGAACACCAAAGAATGCATAGAAATAGTTGCACGTAGTATTTTAGACAGATCCTATTCCGTTAATCAGGTGCTGTCGACGGAGCAGCATGTAAGTAAGTGTATAAGTAAGTGTCTCAAACTCTTCTTTAATTTTTCTTTTTCATGTACTATTTATCTTGTATCACAGACAGCTTTAGTTTCAAAACCTGTTTCCTAACATTCGATAAATTGGATAAATGCAGATATTCTTTGCATATTAGTCTAGCTTCCCAAAAACTGATTAGCGTTATCAGCTAATGTAATCAAGTAAATGTCAAGAACCGAAACACTTTTAAAACTATTAAAATAAAAAAAGTTCTAAAGGAACAGTCTCTGCAATTTCTTATTTTCCCAATATTATTGGGATTTGTAAGATTCAATTCAAAAAAGATGCCACTATGTTTGTATCATAACACATTTCAGTTTCTGTATTCATATTATATTCACCATTTAGGTAGCTCTAATTCCCAGACATTTTTGTCTTATCTCAAAAAATTTTAATTATATTAAAAAAAATTTACAATTGAGCAAGTTACAACTTTAGGAATTTTGGTGAGACTATGCAAAGTGACATACTGTATTTGCACCCCCGGATTTGCATTCTGTGGCGACAGCATGAATGCCTCAGAAAAGGAAAACAAAGCCATTTCATTTCTCTCAGGGTATTATTACAGGGCCCAGGGAGCGCCTCAAGTGTGGGAGGTGATTTAGCTAAAATCCATGTAGGCTGACATGTTCATGGAGAGACCGGGGCGTGAGGTGAGGACTACTAATGTATTCATTCCCTTATGTATATTCTCTTTGTCTAATGTTTTCAGCACATTAACTATCATGTGCCTAGATATGTTTTTCTTCGCATTTATTTTACTTACGTCTGTGGTTTCTTGTTAATTTTTTAAAAATTCTTTTTTTTTTTTTATTGTGCTTCAGGTGTGGGCTTACAGAACAAATAGTTTCTCATGAAACAGTAGTACACATATTGTTTTATGACATTGGTTAACAACCCCACAACATCACAACCCTCTCCCTTCTCGACCTTTTTTTTTTGATGAAAACATACATAGCCAAAGATACACCATTTCAAAAATTTCTACTGCACAGTTCAGTGACACTGACTATGCTCTTCCAATTGTGCTGCTATTCTCACTTTAGATGAAGGCTTACAGAACAAAATAGTTTCTCATTTAACAGTTAGTACACATGTTGCCC